CCAGTGGGCCTAAGGCCAATCCCCACCCTCCTTTGGGGTCGGCCACACCCCCAACCGATTGAAAAGATTCTGGCGGGAAGCTTTCTTTGCACAGCCATGCCCAGTGTTAAGGAGAGGAGGAGGGGAACCAAGATCCCCTTACTTTTTCGGGTAATGCATGTCAAATACTGACCGTGGGATCACTCACGAGTACTGCACGGCAGGATTTGGGTCACTCAACTGCCCCACAAACTCGTTTCTATCCTATCCCGTTGCTAGTGGGACCTCGCCCCAGAATAGAAGGAGCATTCTTTTTTTTTTTTTTCCTTTGGAGCCCGAAATACTTTGTTTTTTTTTACCAGGGGTCTGGTCCCACCTACAGCGTTGAGTTTTCTCAACTCTGAGCTTTCTATCACGTGGGGCATGGCAATCTAATGCTACTGAAATACAGGAGAATAACCTATTAGATTTTTGTCATTTTGTAGAATTTTCCTTTGACGTGAAATCCATTTTGTAGTATGCTTTGGCCCTTTTCTTTTGGGCTGGAAACCATTTTCCATTGACAAAACTACCCTGCCGAGGGAAGGGTACATTTCTCAACTGCAGTGCCTTTCCTTTTTTTTGGTTTTTTGGACATCATTGCATCCTGAAACGGAGGAACGCTGACAGCTCTGTTTGGCTGTCTGGCATCAAACTGGTTTCCTTCTTTGGGCAATGAATGCATTTGGCCATCCACGTTGTCCCTGTCCATTTTACAAATGGTGACCTCCTGTCCCCTCACCATGGGGAGTATTCCTTTTTCACGGAGACATTCACTCTGACTGTTCCAGACATGTTTCATTTCTCCGAGTTACGTTATAAAAAATCAGGAGAGAAGCTGTTTCTAGCGTTTGTTTCAGTTTTTTAATTTCTTGTTCCAAGTTTGTTAATGTAGGCTGTTCCAGACATGTTTCATTTCTCCGAGTTATGTTATAGAAAATCAGGAGAACAGCTGTTTCTAACTTTCTAGCGTTTTTTTTTCAGTTTTTTTATTTCTTGTTCCAAGTTTATTAATGTCGAAATGGTGTCACACCGTTAAGTTTTCTAAACTCAGCAAGGGTAGGTGGAACGAGACCCCAGAAGTAGGTTGGACCCCACAGGACAAAATCGTGGAAAAGTCCTGGAAAAGATGGCCTGGAAAAACTTTTCCGGGAGTACATCGGAAGAAAATGGCCGTCTGGAAACTCGATTGTGGGATGTTCCGGCTGTTTTCGGAGACCCCACCGCGTCGGAAAGGTTGTCCGGAAAAGTGGAGTTCCGTGTTTTCACTTTCGTATCGTGGTGTCGTGGCGGCAAGCGAGCATCTTGCGCCGGAATTTGTGTCATTTCGAGAGGGTAGGGGGGGGGGCATCTATCTCTTGGAAACTTCTTCTGGAAAGTGCTGGTCCAACCGTGGTCCGAGCCTGCACGTCCCGTGGTCCTTCCGGTCGGTAGACGGACTTTCTGTTGTCACCCACAAACGACTGGGGCGGCCGCACGCCACAACCGGACACCCGCGAAGTGGTCTGTCGAAGCAGGGGCGGACATCCATGACCACCGCGCGGTCCATTTGCAGTTTCCAGACTTTCCAAGCTCCTGGAAACTGCGTTTTCCAGCCTCTCCGGTGGGGTCCCGCCTTTCTGCAGGCAAACTTTTCCAGCCGGATTTCCATGGAAACCAAAAGTTGGAAACATTTCTGGGTTTTTTCCTGTGGGGTCCAGGCCTAAGAGTACGCTCAATATCACATAATATCAAAATGAGCGGAGATCAAATTCATCTTTGAGGAGGACTCGATCTGGCCGCTGATTTTGCGATTCTGGGATTTTGAGTGCCTAGTGTGTGAGTCTGCACTAAGAATGTTTCTTTCTTTCTTTCTTTTTTGTGGAAGCTGTAGCTGTGGCACACTTTTAGTTTAAATAGGCAAGAAAAACGAAGTGTCGCAGATGTCATGGTGTGAGTTTCGAAATGTGCAAACTTAGTGGGAGTCTAAAACTGTGCCAGTCGTTACCCACAGTGGCGCTTGGCAGATTTAGGGTCGCCTTTTTTGCTCCATTTCGGGTACTGCTAAAGTTGCATATTCTGAACTTCGGGTGCGACTCCAACGTACTTGTCCCTCTTTTTTTTTTTTTACCTCACGCTACCTACCTACCACTACTCCTAATTATAGTCATACGGGGAACCCCTGTAGCGCCAGAACCGTGTTCATGTGGGGCGTGCTCCCAACCTGCAGGTGGATGGGGAAAAAAGAAAAAGGTATGCATATTATGCAAGTTACCATTGGGACAACAGCTGCCACCTGGATCTTGCTGGTGTGGCACGAGGGCTCGTTAGACACTCCTATTGAAATCCTCGAGCAAAAGGAAAAATTCCTTTTGGTTCGAAAGGAAATTTGGGCCCTTCGTTCCACCTGTCCTCGGGGACGTCGCCAGAGGACATTTCCTTCGAGCGATGTCAGAAAAGAAAAAAAAAAACAAATGTGCTTGAGGTCTTCAGCCAATAGGGTGTCACCACGATCCAGATTCTCAGTTGTAACGTCTCTCTACCCATGTGCCCGATCCTCTCCGTGAAACACGGATTCCTTTTGCCCAAGGGACCTCGTGAGGTCCCTTGGGCAAAAGCAAGAAATGGCTGGGGAATCCTCGGAGCCCAAGGAATTTCCTTCGGAGTGTTTTCACTTTTTTTTTTCCGACTGCATCCCTGAGGATAGGTGGAACGAACAATTCCTCGGGGACTTGACGCACCCGACGAGTGTCTAACGAGCCCCACGGTCTCTTGGTGATCAAAATTGTAGATGAACATTCAAGACATGTATTGTATTCGGGCTATATTTTGGCTGCACTCTCAAGGTTGTAACCTTGCTTCAGGCCGAGTTTCGATCCCAAAGAGACTATGGGCCTCGTTAGACACTCCTTGTGGACCTGAAATCCACAAGGAATGATAGTTCCACCTGTCCTTGGGGACGATTCTATAAAAAAAATGTGAAAACACCACAAGGAAATTTCCTTGTGCGTCCTTGTGGCCAGAACCATTTCTTCCTGGCCCCCAAGGGACCTCGGGAGATCCCTCGGAGCACAAGGAAGCGCGAAAAATTTCGGAGCGGCGAAGGCATGCGTCGACGCACAATTTCGGTTCGAGGTTGGTCCAGACGTGGTCCAGCGAACGGGAGCACGAAAATCCCTGCCTCCAAAATGTGCACGGCGCCCCAACGGCTCCAAACGGTCACCGTCCGCGTGAGGCCTCCGTCCGTCTATGCGATTTGCCGGCTGGCGCCCTGCGGTCTGCTGCGGCAGGCGATCGTTGACAACGGTCCGAAATTCGAATGCTTTTTCCCAGCCACCGCTGCTTTCGACGACGACAGTTTGATTGCAGAAGTTCGTCGTTTTCTTCGTTTGTCGTCACGCCTCGCACGTTGGTGCACAGATCTTCCACCGATCTTTCTTCTGTCGACGGGCTTGTTCGTTGGACGGTCGACCGCTGACGTCGGCTTGTTGCTCTTTCAACGGCCCTTACATGGGCGACCTGCTGCACGGGCTGCCTCTGCTGCTCCACATCGTGGTGCTGCTTCTCGTCATTGTCTTCTTCCACGTGTGTTTCGTCGACCTCGTCCCGGTCGCCGCTCGCAGAAGGAGATCTTCGAAGAAAGTCGACAGGATGGATCGACGACTGGCCAATGGCAGACCGGCAACGCACTGCGGGGTCTGTGGTGAAGCAGCCGTACGACCCGAGGTTGTATGCTCACCTGCCTTCACACGGGATTCCCCTGTCGCCGTCGGATGAAGAGGGGGAAGACGTCAGGTCGTCGACTTTGTCGTTGGGAAGTGGTTCGACGCAGGAATGGGCGGCGATGCAGTCGTATGTTGGCAGGTGGGCAGAGACCCCGTGGTCTTACACCTCACTGCTGAACGAGGGGTTGTGCGACAATGACGGCAATGCAGTGGTTGATCTCAGCTTCCAGTTGTTCAGCAACAGCGGAGCAGCTGCAACGCACACTCAAATCATCAATCCCCACCCAGATGGGGATTGCGCGGACAACACGCACGTTGGTCTGTGCGGGGCGCGAGACGGCAGTGTACCTAAATCGCTTCGCGAAGGTGGGGGAATCGAAACGTGTCGTCGACGAACGTCGGAGGAGGACACGGTGCGGATGAACGTCCGAAGTGGATGCACTTGTCACCTGCGTCGCGACGCGGATCTGGGATTCCTCGAGGACGGCAGCGAACGGAGGATTCGTGTGAGGGAGGTGCGGACGTGCAACACGACGGCAGGCAGCTGTGGGCAGAGTGCAGGCAGGCCCTGAATCAAGGTGGAACGAAGACAATCACGAGAGGGGTGCAACGGCTCTACGTGGATGAAGGCGACGAAGCGGCTTTCGAGGAGGCCCTGAGTTGTGACGACGTTGACGGCGACGACGATTGCAACTCTTACGATTTATCAGACATCAAGCCGCTTGGGAGGAAGGTGGCGAACGGAGGCACGAGTGCAAAGAGGGGTCCCGCTCCGAAAAACCGACGGAATAAGAAAATGGATGATGACACCGGCCGGAGCGATGGCGAGGGCAGCCGGAACTTCTGGTTGGTGGGAGACACGATTGCACTCGTCAGGGCAAAAAGGGATCAAAATCTGTATATCGTCGGCATGGGCCCCAGTTTCGCTCGCATGAAAACGAGGGAGTGGAAGTGGGAGGACGTGCGGGCGAGGTTGCAGACGATGGGCATCACGAGGGAGGGCGTCGACTGCAGGAAGAAATGGGACAACTTGATGCAGCAATTCAAGAAGGTCCACAAGTTCCAGAACCTCTCCGACGGGAAGGACTACTTCAAGCTTGCTTCAAAGGCCAGGCGATCGGAGGGCTTCAACTTCGTCATGGACCGGAGCGTGTACGACGAGATGGAGGCCATGACGAAGGGGGATCATACGATCTACCTGAAGAATTTGGCGGACACGGGGGCAGCCGAGGGGGTTCAGATGCCGGCAGGCGATGGGGTTGGAGGGGAGACCATGGCCAGTGAGGGTGGAGGCGAGGCAGCCGACGAGGAGCAGGGGTCGACGAAAGACTCCACACTCAACACGGGGAGCGACGGCGGTTATGGGAAGAGGAAGAACATGTGGCAACAAACTTTTGAGGTCGTCGCCGACGTCATGGACAAGCATGGTGCGCTCATGGCGAGCACAATGGACAGCGCGAGCAAGTGGCAATGCTCAATGATGTTACGTCAGTGCGAAATCCTGGAGAGCGAAGTGGAAGTACAGAGGAAACATTATGCTGCGGCGGATGAGGCGAACAGATTGATGTGCAACGCCATGATGAAGATAGCGAAAGCCATCCACGAGAGATCATGCGGCGGCGGTTATGGGAAGAGGAAGAACATGTGGCCACAAACTTTTGAGGTCGTCGCCGACGTCATGGACAAGCATGGTGCGCTCATGGCGAGCACAATGGATAGCGCGAGCAAGCGGCAATGCTCAATGATGTTACGTCAGTGCGAAATCCTGGAGAGTGAAGTGGAAGTACAGAGGAAACATTATGCTGCGGCGGATGAGGCGAACAGATTGATGTGCAACGCCCTTATGAAGATAGCGAAAGCCATCCGCGAGAGATCATGACTTATGCTGACTGTGATGTTCGTTGTTGCTTTGGTGGCATGTCTCTCCACGCGTTGTGCCTGCGACGATGGCTACATGTGTGTGTGTGTGTGTGTGTGTGTGTGTGTGTGTGTGTGTGTGTGTGTGTATGTGTGTGTGTGTGTGCACCACTAGGTGTTAACGACATGTGTGTGTGTGTGTGTGTGTGTGTGTGTGTGTGTTCTTGTACTTCGTGTTCAAGGAGAGTGGTCTGTGCGAGATTTTGGGTCTCCACAACGAGAGGGCCACTTGTTGAAGGGGTTACATGGGTCGACGACTGTGGTGGACAGGGGTGGCGCCATTCGTCGGCGTAGGGGGGGGCGCCATTCGTCGACGTAGGGGGGGGCGCCATTCGTCGAAT